CACACAATCACACTCCCCAAACATACTCTATACCCCGGGTCCAGGTATCCTCGCCCCCAGAGGGGGAAACGGCACCCAGACCCAAGAGATGTTACCCTTTCTCTGCCTGCCTGTCATCTCGTGGACGAGTTTGTGGATTTGTGTAACCCAGCGCGTCTGATCCCCTTCCTTTCCCTCCAGCACATTGTATATAGTATCACCTGGTGTTGTCTGTATCAATAAACTAACTGGATTTCTGGTCTGTGCATCAGTCCGTTAACTGAACGTGACACTGCCTCCCATTCTACTTTTAAATACCGCCCCCTCGGCCTGTGCTTCGAGGTTTCTGGTAGTTAGAATGACTCGGGGGTGTTGATTCATTTAAACCAACACAATCATCCTGCTGCAACCAGGTTTCTGTAAGGCAGAGTTAATCGATTTGTTGATCAATTATTCATGTACTAACAGAGACTTGGAGGAGAGAGACCTCTTCAAACGCTTTGAAGTCTGGACTTTGTGCCATTGCAACACCTTGATTCTTGTCATGGTCGACCTTTCAGATTTTCTTTTTTCCTCATATTTGACCCAATCTGAGTCAAGCCTTACCTGTCATTCAGATGGCCTCACATGTGACTCTAGAGTATTATGCTGTACAGAGGAGGTTGTGGCGTGGCGATGTGATTGTTTCCATTGTTGTCTCATAGCAAGAAGGCCCTAAGTTATAATTTACTTGCTGAATGGTGGTCTGTCTCTATATATTACAATCAGTCATATACATGTTCCCATCCTCTTGCCCTGGGACCAATGGAATAAGCCCCTGATTTGGATGGATGGATAGATATGGCTTAGATAGTTCATGGACCACTCGAGGACTGCAAGATGTCTGGGTTTGCTCAAAGAAACGTCAAAACACCCAGGAGCAACATCTCAGTTTAATCAACCGGTCGCAGCAGATGGCCCCGCCCCTCCCTGAGCCTGGTTCTGCTGGAGGTTTCTTCCTGTTAAAAGGGAGTTTTTCCTTCCCACTGTCGCCAAAGTGCTGCTCATAGGGTGTCATATGATTGTTGGGTTTTTCTCTGTATCTATGAAGCGCCTTGAGGCGACTTTTGTTGTGATTTGGCGCTATGTAAATAAAATTGAATTGAATTGAATTGAATTGAATCTACAGGCTTGTGAATGCTGATTATAGTACAATATGAAAAAGACTCAACAAGTACAGGTTCTTTGGAAGGATTTCCAGGTAAACCTCTTTTCTTAAAAAAAGAACATGGGAGACAACTTAAAGTTGCATTTGAACCAAACACAAGACTTCTGGAACAGTATTTGGATCAATGAGACCAAAAATGAAATCCGTGGCCATAATGCACAATTCCATATTTGGTAAAAACCAAGCACAGCAACTGTCTGGAAACAATCTAAAGCAACATTGTTACAAACAGGAGTTCCACGAGCCATCGAGTCCATCGAGTCCTGTGAAACACTTCTTACATGACCATATATCCAACAGGGCACTATTTTGAAATACAGTATGTGATCAATGATATTAGAGCTGAGAGTGCTGACTCACCGCTGTGACTCTGTGTTGGTCCTATCCAACGATTCTGCCTCCTGTCTGAAACTGGAAATCAACAGTGAACATGTGTGTCAGCACGTTAGCCATGCCATGCTCTCGTTTCTCTGTTGTGTACCAATTAAAAACACTCCCAGATGATTCTATTCATCGGTTCATTGACAAAGTGACCAAATCTAGCACCACTGGCTAACAATGGGCTGTGAGGTCAGTTTCATGATCATTAATATGCAAATTGTCACATGACCACTGATCAATACCATGAGTACCATCCACAGAGAGTTTAATGGCTGCAATCACATCATTGTAAGATGGTGACAGATGTACCCTTAGGCCCCTCCTCAATTCAGAGATGGTCTCCTTGACTCCTCGATCCTCCTGGCCCTTACCAGTGTACACTATGTTACTCTGTTTGTGCCAATGGAGCTGATCCTTGGGGTGATTTTTTGCAAAATGATCCTATTGGTCATTGTGCAAATGTACTGTTTATAATGTTGGGGAAACCTGAGACTAAAGAAGTCACTTGGATTAACGAAATGGTCCCCTCATTGAAAACGCCATTTCCAGATGTGCAGAATGAACTTTCTTGGATTTCACTATCTGAAATACTGAGTATGCATCAATGTGAATCTGAAGTCTTCCAACAGCACGTCATCTATTCTATTTTATTCTGACAAAAGCCTGTGGACCGTGTGTGCACTCACATCTCTTCTGCAGGGCTTTCACAGTCGGTCTGGTGAAGCGCATCAGGAAAAGGATGAGCAATATGCAGAAGAGCAACGCTGTCATCACTTTGTAGGTCTTCAGCTGTGCCGTGTCCTTCTCAGCTGGACACACACAAACATGCAAACACACATATTATCTGAATAGCACATTTACTGTATGTATGAAAGCTGGTATTCTGTGTAAAGTACAAATAATAGTTTAACGCAATAATATACAGATTATTTATTTATTTGATAACAGTACAAAGGTTTGGCATCATCTTTTTGAAATAACATTTTTGTGAAGAATCTGCCATGTAGCATTAATGTGGTTTTACACAGACCGCTCCACGTTTTTATCAGAGTACAGCATGAAGCCAGTTAGACTTTTGGGAAGTTGCTCTGATCAGTTAAGTAGCAGAGGGGGTCAGTGATTAGTTTATTAGTTTCAGCTGCTATTGTGTTCACGAAATGACCAACATGTTCAGGAACAACAATGAGACAACCTCCAAAACATGAATGGTTTTACAGGTGGAGGCCAATATTTTTCCTTCCTCGTCTTTTCTGACTGTTTCTTCACTAGTTTTGCGTTTGGCTGAGGTTAGTGTCACTACCGGCAGCATGAGGTGATGCTTGGACCCCACAGAGTTTGTGCAATTAGTCCAACTCCTCCAGAATGGAACATCAATAAGTGCTATTGCCAAAAGGTTTGCTGTGTCCCAGCACAGTCCAAGAGAAAGGCAGATAGGGCTGTAGAAGGTCCATCAGGAGGACCGGTACCTGCTCCTTTGTGCAAGGAGCAACAAGATGAGCATTTCCAGAGCTGCAAAAGATCCTTTGGCAGGTAACCGATTCTGATTGTTCTGACCAAACAATCAGAAACAGACTTCATGAGGGTGGCCTGAGCAGGCAACATCCTCGAGTGGGCTCTGGGCTCACTGCCTGGCACCATGGAGTTGGACTGGTGTTTGGCATAGAACACCAGAACTGGCACAATGTGCTTTTCACAGATGAGAGCATGTTGACTGAGCACATGTGACCGACGTGAGAGGGTCTAGAGAAGCACGCTGCTGTAACATTCTTCTGGATGCTGCATCAATGATGGGACACATCTACATGATGTCACAGGCCTCTGCAGGCAACAGCACCCTGACTGCCATGAGCTTTCAGGATGAAATGCCTGCACCCTTGGATCCTACACTGGTACACATTCCTCCTCATTAGGAGTCAGGGTTAGGTATTAGGTCCCAATGTTGTCAGGCATGCATACAAACACATGGGGCTTGTGTGCATGCTCTATTGCTGCAAAGAAATTTAGGTAAAATGGACTAGCCCGCAGCACCTGTCTTTGAATTCAGCCCTCTGTAGGGTGATACTTTACATTTCCATCAAACAGTGTGGGATCTTCTCACGCCCCGGGCCAGATCAGTTTACATATCCAGCTTGGTTTGTTTCCCCACTGAGATTCAAGACTTCCTTTGATTTTTTTTCAGCATATTTATAGAAGACGAGTTGTCAGCTGCACTAGTGCTTATACCGTCACAGAGAGGGTGCCTCCTCTCCTCAGGTCAGAGGTCATGGCATTCATGGTTTTCATCCAGTGAAACCACAGCATCATTTCCACCCTAGATGTGTTTGTGAGTGCAGTGACGACCCATGTTTACAGGTAATGTTTGTTAGTGTTTCTGAGGCCTGGCATACATTACCAATACAGAATCATGTATTTATTTTCCCTCAGTGCTGTCTACACTCCAAGATCACAACTGGTTTGTCGATCATAAATTTAAATCACATGTGTTGCAGTTCTTAAATGCACAACTTAAAGTCTGCAGAGAAAAAACAAGTCAAACCACACGACATGGAATTGTCAGCGTTGAACATCTACAAAGATCTGCAGACAGACAGCAGAGCAGCCTTTGAGCACAGGCTGTTGTTTGCTACTCTCTCAGTAATGCTGTCACCTTGATGATCTCTGCCTTCAGTCTGATCCAGCTATGGCTCTGATCTGACACACATCTTTCAAATGAATTGTGTTTGTTTTTTGACCAAACAGGAAGCGGTGGATGCAGGATTACCACAACATTACCTTTACATTTGGTTGAAGAAGTGACTGCATCGGGCGCTTTATTCTCAGAGTTTGTAGTTTTAGAGGTGGTGGCAATCGTCACAGGACTGCTAGTCAGGGAGATGGAGCTGACAGTGTAGTTTCCAGTTTGGGTATAATTTGGAGTCTGGCTATTTCCTGGAGGACACATATCAGTTAGTATAACAAAAGTACAACAATAATGAATGTATCCCTCTGTTGTGGACCAGAGACGCTGTGAATCAAACCTTATGAAGACGACCTGCAGGGAAGAATAAAGTTACAAGAAACATGGAACAAAAGAGAAACAAAGATATTCTTTAAGATGATGTTTGTGAGAAAATAAAAAACAACAAACGAAAAGATTTTTTAAGGAACAGCATCCTTGAAGTTTATCTTCCACTGGAAGGTCGTTGCTGTGAAGCTGACTATGACCCAGCTAAGCTCCTGCAGCTTACAGCATATAAACCTGTGAACAACTGCAGACGCACATTCAGGATGTAATGTCAACGTATCTTACTGTGTATTTTACAGTTTTGTTCTGTTCTTCTAGAATATCATTAATTTACATAAGTAGACTGTGATTTTACATGTCAAAGGTAAAATAACATAACATCACTGTAAATATAGTAAAACACAATTTACTTGTTTTTAAATATATTTTTTGTACATATTTAGATTGTAAAAATACAGAATCAGAAATGTATCATGATTTAACAAATATTTGTTATGTGAGAGAATGATCTGTTAAATTCAAATGTAATACTATGGAAAAATATATAAAATGATCGAAAATTAATGAGAATAATCAATAATTAAAGGAGTATTTGAATTATAATTGTGCTGAAAAGTTCATGTTATCTAGGTCTGATTCAATAATTCAGAGGTAACAAGTGAAAATATAATTAATAGGAATAAAAACATAAAACATTTAAACATTGCACGGCCACACTGCGCTAATTATATATTTTAAAAAATAAATGTAGAGGCAGGAATTACAATTAATACAAATCTCAAAGTATTCCCAACATTCCTGAACAGAAACAGGCCTCTGCACCTGGGG